TCTTCTCAGATCCCCAGCCAGATCTTCTGGCTCCTCCTCCTCCCTGTGCAGTGCCCCCATAGCAAGCCACTTGCAATGGGGACACTGGTGCGTGCTCACTCTCAAGCCCCACTCTATGAGTCCATGAAACACAGCAGTGTACATCTCTGCCGCACTCCTCACTCCCTCTTCACTGGCTGTGGTTGACAGCAGTGGGAGCCAATGGCTCAGCCACTGCTGTGTCTGAGCCAATGAGGAGGCAGAAACCCAGGAGAGACGCTGCTCTCTTGCACATCACTGGACCGAGATCAGGCTCAGGTGACTTTAGGTGGGGGGGAGCTGCACACAGGAGGTTTTTTACCTTTATGCATACAAAGCGTGAATGTTAAAAACCTTCAACCTTTACAAAACAAAACACTTTAAAAAGGTGAATTCCAGGTCTGGCAATTTTTACATATTTAGATTGGTCTAGCTTTGATCAATGTATACCATACCCATGGAATCTGGAAATCACTGTAGTAGGCATTGCTACTCCAGTGATTTCCATTAGCTTCACAGGCATCATTCAGTGAACACTTTGCTTTTCTCAATGAATGCAAAGCATTTTCTGATTTGACAAGGTGTACAGAGACAGGGAGGTGACATCACACTCAATCAGGGAATTATTCATTCATTGAGAAAAGTAAAGTGTTCTCTGAATGGTGCCCATGCTGAACTAATGACCTCTAGTGTTCAGTAAGCAGCAAGGCAGCCACTTGGCACAGGAGCAAGTCGCTACCACTGTGGTAGCAGTGCACTGTGTAGTGCCAATTTTAATATACATGGCAGTCGTAGAAGAGTGGTTATGAGGATTTAAAAAAACAAAAAAAACACTGAATAAATGCAGCTTAAAGTATATGTAAACCCTCACCTTGTAAAACAACCTATTCAGTTTAAAACAAAAATGAAAAGGCAAAACATTTGCACACAGACACCTTTTTTTCTATGTTATATAAGTGATCACATTCCCTCATTCACTTTATGCAGCTGAGAGCAGAGAGCTGGGGGAGGAGAAACAGCAGCACACTGAAATTCTCAGTGAATGGCTATACAGGGAGGGGGTGTGTCAGGACACATCTGATCATTGAAGGAGAGCACACTGAGTTCCCACCACAGCTAGAGAATTGACCATGTTATGTCCCCCATGCCTAGGGTGGTCAGTTTTTTTATTGAAAACCAGAGGGACTGGCAGGAACACTGGGGATTTCACACAAAGGAAGCAATACAAAGAGAACAGGATAGTTTTTCATACAAGTACATGATACTGCAGGCACATATCAGGAATATACAGAGTCTGTAAACCCAACATTTCAAACACATGGTTTTGATATGCAACGAGCCCTGAAAAAAAAAAAATCTATACATGTATGGCCAGCTATAGTTTTTCATCTTTGTTATCTATTTACTTGACTCAGCCTCATCTTTTATATTGTACAGAAGAGTTGGAGACAATATTGTGTTTCTGTGCACTAAAAATGAAATGCATTTTTGTTTTCTACAGAAATAGATAAAGCAACTACCACCATGAATTTATTCTATGGGTCCTTTGCTTTCTGACAAGAAGTCTTAGGTGCATTTTCATGTAAAAACCTGTATTTTAGCATGTGTGCCCCCCCCCCCCCCCCCCCAAAAAAAAAAAAAAAAAAAAAAAAAGTGTCTCTGGTAAAGTATATAAAACATTCCCAAACACTGAAACCTAACACACAATAAAGAAAACCAATCTGTCCTTGTAATCAGTGTAAATATGTACATACCTTTCACAGAGTGTCCTTGATTCTGTTGACAAAGGGGAGGAGATACACTAAAGAAGAAGGAAAAACACAAGACATCATTTAGGTCTGGTACAAATGTGTGCGATCTACAAAGGATAGGGATGATCACATTAAATGATGTTTGGATAACCTGGGCAGAGTAGAAGGATCCAGATAATATAACACATTTCAAGATATAGAAGATCATTAAAGTGATTCTAAAGGCTGAAGGATTTTTTTTACATTCATGCATTCCGTGTGCAGCTCCCCCCCCCCTCCAGCCCCCCTAATACTTACCGGAGTCTGATTGTGATCCAGCGCTGTGCACGAGAGCCTCAGCGCTCCCAGGTCTCTCTCTCCTAATTGGCTGACACACAGTAGCAGAAGCCATTGGCAATCACCGCCAGTGAGGAGGGAGCAGAGGACAGCGCCGAGGCGCAATCTGTAGGTCTTATGGACATACAGGGCCGACTTGGGAGCAAGAACGCAAGATTACTGCTTGCTTTGCGGGAACTCAGCAGGATATAGCAGGACTACACAGAGCATATAAATATGACATTTTTGTTTTTCTTTTTATTCAAATAACAAACAAGGTTTTGCAACCAGTTTAAAGACGGCCATATACGGCTAACATTTCTGTCAATTTCTGTGGGAATCGAATGGAATTTGAATGGTGGTTGCTCCTGTCGGCACCATCCAGGTGAACAAAAGTTGATTGTTCAGATAAGCTATGTACACGGTCTGCGAATTGAGCTGTCCGATGATGGCTTGGTTCACAGCCATTAATGAGCGCACCGACACCTGAGGGGGGTTTCTGAAGTGCAGAAATAAGTGCCTACCACTTCAGTTAGAAAACACATGGCGGTACATAAATGCTTATAATATGGTCCCATTTTTACACCTAAATTGGGAAGTATGCAATACCTAAATAGGGTGCTTCCATTGAACCAGGGCTCATTTAGACATGCAAGGAATTTTGAGCGCCCATTGTTGCACCCAATGCATTAACAGAGAGTTTTCAATGCGTTTGTCAGTTTAAAAAAAAAAACTTGGCAGACACCCTCTCTGCATTGGATTTCTATTGTATGGATTTTTGTATTGGCTACTAACGCTTTCAAAACGCATCTCAAACAGGCTGTAAATGCCATAAGGGTGTTTGTGGCGCATCTGCGTTAAAATGACATCAATGGAAGCGCTTGTGGAGTGGCAAACGCTGGAAATAAACACTTGTCAGGTAAAGTTTAAACACTAAACAAAACAATGTGAACACTGGGCGCTCCAAAGCATGTAGTTTTGACAGGAGTTCATGGAGCTCCAGAAACACTCTGGAATCGCCCGCTTCTGAACCTAGTGTAAAAACTTGGCCTTAAAGCGGAGTTCCACCCAAAAGGGGAAGTTCCGCTTTAAAGATTAGTCCCCACCTCCCCATTAAGATTGGCGGGGGGACGGGTACCCGAATTTGACATGTACCCGCTCCCCCCTCCCTCCTCGTAGTCTTGTGGGACACGTGACAGGTCTCAGAAGATGGGGCCATTCAGGAAGTGCAGCGCTACTTACGCATGCGCAGTGGGCACCCGGCTGTGAAGCTGCATGCTGTCACAGCCGGGTGCCCACACTGAAGATGCCAGCCTCCTGGAATACAGGAAGGCAGGTGAAACAGGCTGTGGCGGGGGCTACGTGGGATCATGGGACAGGTAAGTGGCTCATATTTTTAAAAAGTCAGCAGCTACAGTTTTTGTAGCTGCAGACTTTTTTTTTTTTTTTTTTTTTACAGAGTGAGTGGAACTCCGCTTTAAGGAGGTCTGTCATTTACAAAAGTGCGCTAATGTGGCTTCCTATAGGTTTGTAAAATGAATGCATTCAAAACCTCTAGATGAACCCAACCCCTTTCACCTCTCAATATCTTCCTCCATTCCCCCAAATCAGCCAGGTACCAAGGCCCTGGAGTTCAGTCTTTCTCCACTGTAATTCACCACCCAAATAATGGATTGCACACCAAAGACACCAATGTTTATTGCAGTGACACAGAAAATTATGCCCCTCTACCCCCCCCCCCCCCCCCCCCCCCCCCACATGTTTTTCACCCACAGCAGACCTTAACACGGAACAACATTGCATCTTAGCACCGCAAAGCTAAAATGCTGTTTAATTCATTGTTAAATATTCAAAGCAAACTCCCCCATCCATTCATATCTCCATGCTTTATTTTGCTGAGAAATGCACTTTGAAAAATACCCCCCTAGCATTTCTAGCCCGTGGCCATCTTGAGTAAGGGCAGATGCTTTATGTAGCATTTTCTTCCTGAAATCCACCTGCCCTGAGATCAGGCATGCAGGGAGGAGGGGTGAAGAAAACCCCTCTTCCCCTACAGAAGTCTCCTTGCCTGTAGAACATCATTTGCTTAGGCAAGAAACACAGAAGTAACTGAAAAATTATAAAATAATAATAAAAATAATAATTTAAAACCAGTAAATATTACTTTCCTATTTATTTACTAATGCTAGCAGCAGAAGCATTAAAAATAGTCATTGTTGATGAAGAATGATGTTCTGCTTTAATCAGAGGGATGATTAAGCCTTGCTGTGGGTGAAGCTTGCTGTGGGCATGCCTTTAGTGGGAGCAGGCAGGGTGTCGTCATTTCACTGCAATAAACCTTGGCTGGAGTTCAATCAAAACCTCTAGATTTAATCCCAAGCACTGAAACACTATGGATTTGCATTTCTCTGTTGGTTAACAAAATGGGGTGCTGGAGATTTATCAGGTTTAGCTCACCAGCCATGTGCTCCTTTCCTCTGTTAGATAGTAAAGAAGTAGAGGCCACATTCTGCTGATGCCAAGTAAGCCCTAGTTCACATAAATGCGGCCGTACGGGCCGCGTTTTGCGCGGGCTTGAGAGCCCATTCATTTGAATGGACTCCCAAGCCCAGGGACACGCAGGGAAGAAGTTCCAGCACTTCTTTGGAAACTGTAGCCCGGATGGGAACCTCAGTTCCCAGTGTGGTTGCGATTTCCAGTGTGGGCGCTATGCCATTTGAATTAGTGGCACCGGCCCGCGGGTCTGCATTCTTCTGTGCGGGTAATGTGGCTGCATGGATTTTTGTGCAGATCCACAGCGGCACCACCCGCACAGATGAGAACCTAACCTAAAGGAAGGGGAATCTTCCTCTGCTTCATCCTATTTATTAAACAGATGACATTCATTTGTATTGGTAGTGCTAGTTAGCAGCTTACCTTGTAGGTGAGGCAGGAGGGGTGTACAAAGCAAGTGCTGCAGAAAACGGCTGTTTCTTCAGAGCTTGGACTAGATTGGGCTTATACTCAGGATCAACACACCATAAGGATCCTTTTCCATTTACCTAAAAACAGATGGCAATGCTGCAAATTAGAGGAGGTAAGAACATAAACAAGCTATTTACACTGAGCGCACTTAATATGCCAATGGGTTTGACTGACATGCTGTTGAGCCAATTAACTAGACACCAACACAAAAAAAAACCAACACTGCTTTCCATTGTACTAAATATACAATCTGGAACCTTCTAGTGATCACAAAAGCAGTCTCATTGGGTGGAACCATTTTATTCACAACTGTAAAAACGCCCCATTTATCAGATCACGTGGAAGAATATTGCATGACATCACTGGTTCTAAAGGACACTGAACATTGGCCCTAGGACCAGTCCTGTCAGAGTACAATAGCCCAGTATTGGAATTCATCTATCAACACTCTATAGCAAGGATGGATGCATTGCCTAGATTTTATTTTGTTCAGACCGCATACTGGAGAGAAAAAAAAAAAACAAATTCTAAAGTAGTGTATGAGTGGCTTTAAAGTCAACCTGACATGGAATATTAATGGAGATTAACAGGTCAAATATCAGGAACCCTAACAAGCAATCTAAATTCAATGTACTGCAGTCAGATCAAAGAATTTGGAGCAGCTATATTTGACAACCAATCAGCTTTTAACTTTCATTTTCAAAGTGACATTAAACTCTGTTTTTTAAGCACTTTCAGTGGATGAATTAATCACTTGCCTACTGGCCACTTTTACCCCCTTCCTGTCCAGGCCAATTTTCAGCTGTCAGCGCTGTCACACTTTGAATGACAATTGCGCAGTCATGCAACACTGTACCCAAATTAAATTTTTAGAGCTTTCTTTTGGTGGTATTTAATCACCACTGGGTTTTTTTTTTATTTTTTTGCTAAAACATATATAAAATATTATATCCTGCGGGTTTGGTGCGCTTTCTGAAAGTGCACCACATCTGCAAGACATAATAGAAGTCTATGCAAAGAGCAGATAACCCGCAGGTGCACGGCGCTGCCCGTGCGGGTAAACTTCAGAGCATCTTTGTGAAAGCAGCCCTGTAGGAGTTAAGGACAGTAAGGGCTCTTTTACATTTGTGGCTTTGGGATGGTAAACCTTCCCACCCACCCCAACCACTGGTGTAGCGTTGGGGTCTCAATGGAGAAACTGACCCATGCTCCAGGGGGCCCGAACAGGTTGGCATATACATGAACCAATAGTCTCCATTTTCCTCCTGCAATTGCCATTTGCTGAAAGCCAGCTTCTCTTCCTCTCAGCAGCTGCAGGAGAAAAATATTAGTTCAGAATTTTTTATTTTGAATAGCATAACTATTTCATTTAATTGTCGCCCAGGACTGTTATCAAATCACTTAAGTGGCCCTCACTTTTTAAAAAGCTGAGCACCCCTGATTTACACAGTAAAAAAGTATTTTGTCCAGGGTGGATAAAAATCAATGATTTTTTATAAAAAAAAAAAAAAAAAAATCAAAAAAATCCGATTTTTTTTATTTAAATCGGATTTTTTTTAAATAAAATGCTTTTTGAGGAAAATATATTACCATCCAAAGGTTATTCCATCATGAAATAAAGATTAGTTTTTTAATTATGTAGAATAAGGCTGTATATGTTTAATTTTTTTGGTAAATAAATTCCATGAATCCATTCACAATGTCATGCTCTTCCAGAGGTTTTTGTAAGATTATTGGGCAGTTTCTCTGCCTACAAGATATTATCACAGATGCTCAGGTTTACTTTTGCAGTTTTCAAAACTGAATTTGACTCAGCGGAGATCACATGCCTCTTCTTCACACAGCAAAAATGTTATAACATGAACAGAGTTAAGAAAAAGACCTTATCCTAACAAACCTATGAATACAGAATACAGAATCAACCCCTTCAGTGCCAAGTTTCAAGAAGTTCAGTGAATAGAATAGAAACAATATTTTTCTGATTGTTTGGAGTGGAATAGATCTGCACAAGAAGAAAGTGAAACTAAGTGTGAGGAGGAGCATTTTGGCAAAAAATATGTTTGATGCGTGTAAAACACGTTAACATTAGGCGTGTTTAGTGCTTGAGCGTTAATTCATCTCAATGTGCAGAACTAAAATTATTATCCCTCCCTCCTAGATTGTAAGCTCTAAAGAGCAGGGCCCTCGATCCCCTCATGTTTTGCATTGTATTGGTATTGTTCTGTCACATGTTCTGTCCCCCTTTGTAATGTACAGCGCTGAGCGAAACTATTGGCGCTTTATAAATACTGTATAATAATAATAATTATTCTGGCCAACGAAATTAATTCATGCCCAAGCTCTTGACGCTTGTAAAAAACGTGCCTAAACAAGCGTCAGGCATTTTTTTCTGCCAATACACCGCTGACAAGAGGAGGAGCGTTTTTAAAACATTCTCTGTGCATGAGGACTTAATGTATAAATGTCTCCTGTCATAACAAGGCAACAATGTACAAATCCATGTGTAGATTTTACAAACATTAACAGTCAAAGGGTGTAAATATAGCTCAGATTTTTTTCTCCCAGCACATTCCAGTAGAAGGCTCTCTTTCTGGTAGAGATTACAGCTGGTCTTGCATTTTATCTTTCATAGAAGGAAGATCTCCTTTAGTTTAGCAGGAACACAGGCTCATCTCAAATTACTCAAAGCTCAAGAACAGAGCCAGCAGAAGGAAGTGCTACCATGACAACCCAAACCAGACGGTTATCCAGACCATAGCTAGACTTGCAAGTGTACAGTAACTGTTTATGTGCAGCTGGGGGAAGCATTTCCATATATAGATGAATCTGCACCATCAGCTTTGTAGTAACAACTTCAGGATTCTTATCTTTAACAGGTAGGTGACACATCCTTCACTTCAGTATAAAGAAACCCAATTCATACAGAATCTGTGAAAGCTTCTCAAGTCTATAGCAGCCAGGGGCGGGCTGACCATTTGAGCACTCAGGCACTGCCTGAGGGCCCGGGGTCAGTAGGGGGCCTCATGAGATGCCCCTGGTACTTTTTATAGGCTTTTTTGGGTGTGGTCGAGAACACAGGGGCCCCATGATCCCCTATTGCCCGGGGGCCCCATGAGTTGTCAGTCCACCCGATAGCAGCTAATAAAAATGAAAGGTGCCAGCCAATTCAACCATGAATATTCAGTACTCTACTCTTTCATTGCATGCTCTAGCTTTCACTTTGCACCTCGGATGATCAAACAAATGTTATTTCTTCTAAGCAAAAAAAAAAAAAAAAAGCCCACATACAGTACATAAGGACACATAGAAGCTTGCTTTACAAACATTTCATAGAATGACAAAGGAACCCAAGAGAACCAGGTTTAGCTAAAGAGGTGGTTTGTCACATTTAAATCTTGGACTGGGCTATCTCATAAGGGAGTCACTGATCCAATGACTGATGAGAAAAAAAAAAAAATCAAAATCAAGAATTCCTTTATGCTGCTGTGAATCCGACTTCCTGTTACAGGCTGGCTACATACACTATATTGCCAAAAGTATTGGGTCAGCCCTCAAAATCACTGGATTCAGGTGTTCCGATCACCTCCATGGCCACAGGTGTATACAATCAAGCCCCTAGGCATGCAGACTGCTTCTACAAACATCTGTGAAAGAATGGGTCGCTCTCAGGAGCTCAGTGACTCCAAGCGTGGTCCCGTGATAGGTTGTCACCTGTGCAATAAGTCCATCTGTGACATTTCCTGGCTACTAAATATTCCACGGTCAACTGTTAGTGGGATTGTAACAAAGTGAAAGCAACTGGGAACAACAGCAACTCAGCCACAAAGTGGTAGGGCACATAAAATGACAGAGTGGGGTCAGCGCATGCTGAAGTGCACAGAAGTCACCAACTGTCTGCAGAGTCAATAGCTAAAGACCTCCAAACTTCATGTGGCCTTCAGATTAGCACAACAGTAGTGTGTAGAGAGCATCATGGAATGGGTTTCCATGGTCGAGCAGCTGCATCCAAGCCTTACATCACCAAGTGCAATGCAAAGCATCAGATGCCGTGGTGTAAAGCATGCCGCCACTGGACTCTAGAGCAGTGGATACATATTCTCTGGAGTGACCAATCACGCTTCTTCAGCAATCCAATGGACATGTCTGAGTTTGGCTGTTGCCAGAAGACGGTACTTGCCTGACTGCATTGTGCCAAGTGTAAAGTTTGGTGGAGGGGGGATTATGGTGTGGGGTTGTTTTTCAGGGGTTGGGCTTGGCCCCCTAGTTCCAGTGAAGGGAACTCTTAAGGCATCAGCATACCAAGACATTTTGGACAATTTCATGCTCCCAACTTTGTGGGAACAGTTTGGGGATGGCCCCTTCCTGTTCCAACATGACTGACAAAGCAAGACATGGATGAGCGAGTTTGGGGTGGAGGAACTTGACTGGCCTGCACAGAGTCCTGACCTCAACCTGAAAGAACACCTTTGGGATGAATTAGAGCAGAGACTGCAAGCCAGGCCTTCTCATCTGACATCAGTGCCTGACCTCACAAATGTGCTTCTGGAAGAATGGTCAAACCTTCCCCTCCTATAGACACCCTTCCCAGAAGAGTTGAAGCGGTTATAGCTGCAAAGGGTGGACCAACTCAATATTGAACCCTACGGACTAAGATTGGGATGCCATTAAAGATCATACGCGTGTAAAGGCAGGCCGACCAATACTTTTGGCAATATAGTGCATGTTCTCTATGGTCTTGAGATGCACTATGGGATCTGTAGTGTGCATAGAGCAGTGAACATGATTGCAACAAACATGCAACTGCTTGTTCCAATGAACAGAAATGAATGGGAAAAAAAAAAAAAAAAAAAAAAAAAAAAAGGTTCTTGAGCTCAAGGAGGAACAAAAAAAAAAAATTTAAAAAAATAAATAAAAAGCAATTTAAAGTGATTCTAAAGTCCCTTTTTTTTTTTTTTTATTTCATTTACCTTCATGCAGGTAAAAAAAAAAAAAAAAAAAAAAAAAAAAAAAAAGTCCCACAACCTGTTTTACCCACCCCATTCCTAAACATTTACCTGGCTCCTGTCACTACTTCAGTGCTATATCATCTGCAGCACTGCTCCTCTCCCTTACTTTCACTTTCTGTTCACAGATTTCTCAAATTCCAGTGTGGGGGAGCGGGAGTGTGGCTTCCCGCCACTGTGTGCATCTATGGATGCATACAGCCTAGCTCAGGAGCACATGCACTCAGTTCCTCCATAGCACCTGGCATACTAAGGAGGCACCTAGAGAAGGGAGCAGCAGACAATGCCAGCAGGACATTCCTCAAGAAGAGGTAAGGACGTGTACAAATTATTTTTGGAGAAAATGGATATGGTTGTGTGTCACTTTTAAGTTCTGTAAACCAAGAGCTTATTAACCCATTTTCACTGGCTCCTGTCAGCCCTTTAACCCCTTCATGCCTAAGGGTAGAAAAAAAAAAAAAAAAAAAAAAATCTTAAAGCCCAAGTAAAATTTTACAACTTTGACATGTGTTCGTAAAAGCGTAAACATCACCACAACTACTTTGTACATACAGGTGGATTATGCCTGGTTTCTTTTGAGAGAGAGAGAGAGAGAGAGAGAGAGAGAGAGAGAGAGAGAGAGAGAGAGAGAGAGAGAGAGAGAGAGAGAGAGAGAGAGAGAGAGAGAGAGAGAGAGAGAGAGAGAGAGAGAGAGAGAGAGAGAGAGAGAGAGAGAGAGAGAATGCTCCCAGCACAAATACAGGTGCGCAAATATGCGGCTATTTGTGTTACGTCGGCACCAACTCAGGGTAGTGATACTCAGGGTGCCGTGACGCGGCTCTGTGGCTTACGTATGTATTTGCAAATGTGTGCTAACTAAACCCCTGTTTTTAAACGCATGTTTCCAGACAGGTTAATTTGGTTTTTGATAGTTGGCTAACTGGCTGACAGTTTGAACTGGCTTTTCTTATCCCCCTTTGTTGATAAGATATACATATCCTTGTTCCTTGCCAACAAAAGCCAATATTAGATTGGGGTAGGCTGGCAAGTTGAACTGGATAGTTCTACTTTTTTGGAAATTTCTCACGTAGTGACAGCCCCCCATGTTCACTGTTTAAAAAGCCAGTTATAGACCTGGGCAGGTGATCAGTTTTTTTCTTTAACCCCTTCATGCCTAAGGGTAGAAAAAAAAAAAAAAAAAAAATCTTAAAGCCCAAGTAAAATTTTACAACTTTGACATGTGTTCGTAAAAGCGTAAACATCACCACAACTACTTTGTACATCCAGGTGGATTATGCCTGGTTTCTTTTTAGAGAGAGAGAGAGAGAGAGAGAGAATGCTCCCAGCACAAATACAGGTACGCAAATATGCGGCTATTTGTGTTACGTCGGCACCAATGGGTTAAGCCGATTTGAACAGCGAGTTACTGGAATCGGCCAGTGACAGATTGGTCAATGCCCTGGGAACAGGTAATCCATATATGCAGCAGTTCGTTCATGTCAACCCGTCATGCTGGTATATTTGTGTGTAAGGGCTTGTTCACACTTGAATAAATCTCTAACTCTTAAACACTCCTACAGCTTTAGTATGGGCGTTAGACGTGTTAAAGAGCTTTAGTACAGACGTTAGACTGGCGTTTTACAAGCGTTAAAACTGCACCACAAATACCTATCACAAAATGTAATGTTATTAACGCGCCACAACCACCTGCCAGCGTGTGTCACCATAGACTTGAATGGGAGGCATTGAAAGGTTTCAAACTCCTCCAGACTCGACATGAGGCTTCAATTTTGAAGAGACACGACACTAATGCTTCATGTTTTAATAATGTGAAAAGCACTGTGTGCGGTCCATGGTATAGTTTGCATAGGTTTCTGAGGAGCGTTAAAAACGCCCCTCAAATGCCTGCTTTCAATGGTAGTGTGAACTAGGCCTAACCTTGGTTATGCACAGCTGAGAGCTCTACAATTCTTCACAAAAAAGGAAGGCTAGAGACCCACCTGCTACTTAAATAGAACGACATAATGTTAAAGCCATCTCCATACTGACTCTGTCCTATTAATATGCAGATCAAAGTTACCTTTGATCTGCACATGATGTCCATTAAAGCAAGTAAAGTATTTATTTTAAAATGTGTTCCTATGTAACCTCTTAATACCCTTCGTTTACCCTAATCAGCCTTAATTAACCCTTTCATTCCATTTTCCCCTTAGCAATGCTTTGCATCAGAATCACGATTTAAGTACCCTTATAAATGGGACAATTGCTGACTTGGGTTGAAAGGGTTATGCACTCCAGGTTTATCCTAATCAGTGCTTAATAACCTGAAGTGTATGTTCAATCCAACCTTTTTTTTTTTGGGATAATGTAGGGAAGAGTTCAAAGATTTTTACTATTATCTGGGGCTCCGCTAGATATATTTCTCAATCACTTGGTGTCCTGGTAACAATGGTTTCCACAGACAGGAAGTGAGGTTACATTTAAAGCAAGAAGTATTATTTCTTTCCAATGGAGTGTGGGAGGTTAGAACCCCTGCTAGATTTTATTGCTATCTGTGTCCTGTTGCAGATCTCCCCTTCACATTCTGAGTCAATTTCCAAAAAACAAAATAGCAATTGAAGGTCACATGAGGTTCTACCTTCCCAATTCCATCTAAACATTAAAAAAATTTGTTTGGCTGCACATGGACTTCACTCAAAAAGGAATTACAGGGTAGGGTGGGGATGGGGAACAGAAAGAGTACCAATTTTTTTTTTTTCAGTACCTGCGCCCACAAACCTCACTTACGCGAGGATGTTTGCCCCTTACCCCGGCCCCTCCCTAGCCTCCTGGGACATGTCACATAACCCAATAGGCTGCATGATCATTCATAAAGCGCCATGCGAGCTTGCGCATGCGCAGTGATGTGCCTGCTGTAGTGCCTCAGGAAGCAACAGCTGTCTCCTGTATCCAAGATGGCAACGCCAGAGACATGCAGTGTTAAGAGGAGCTGACTGTGGGAAGACCATGCTGGACCCCAGTCACTGGTAAGTACCTGATCTTTAACAGTCAACAGCTACAATACTGGAAGCTGCTTATTTTTATACTCTTTAACCACTTGCCCTCCTGAGGAATTACCCCCCTTTCCTGACCAGGCCATTTTTTGCATTATGGCGCTGCATTCCTTTAACTGCCAATTGCACGGTCATGCAACGCTGCACCCAAATTAAATTTATGTCCTCCCCCCCCCCCCCCCCCCCCCATGAATTGAGCTTTCGGTGGTATTTGATTCCCTGTGTGGTTTTTATTTTTTGCGCTATAAAAAAAAAGAAACAACACACACACACACACACACACACACACACACACACACACACACACACACACAAAAACACAAAGAAAAAAACCCACACACACACACCTTTTTTGCTACTTAACATTTCCAGTAAAAAACAAAAAAAAAAAAAAAATCAAATTTTGTCATAAATTTAGGCCAAAATGTATTCTGTTACGTCTTTGCTAAAAAAAAAAAATCCCAATACGTGTAAATGGATTCGCTTATGTGAAAGTTATAGGAGTTACAAATGGCGGTATATATACTGGAATTAATTTTTTTATTTTTACTAGCAATGGGGGCGATCAGCGACTTATAGTGGGACTACGGTGGGCATTCTGACACTGGGGGGAACAGACTTGGTGTCACTGACGGGATGTCAGTGACACCAATACAGTGATCAGTGCTTAAAACAAAAAAAAAAAACCCACTGACACTGTACTAATGACACTGGACAGGAAGGGGTTAACATGAGGGGCGATCAAAAGGTTAACTGTGTGCTGGGTGTGTTTGTGCTTCACTGTAAGCTGACAGGGAGGAGAACTGTTTTGTTTACAAACAGTTCTCCTCCCTGTCCAAGATCCTCCGCAATCACCAGTCATGACCCGGTGATTGACAGACAGTAGGACTCGTGAGCTCCCCCCTTCACATGATCAGAATGCCCGCCTCCACCTCTTGACATTCCGATACAGTTAAAGGGCCGGGAGGCAGAAAGGGGTTAATTAAAATGCTGTATTCGTTAGTTAGTTACTCCTCAGTCCATGGAATTTGTGACTTTAAAAATAAATCAGGAAATACAAATCACATATTTCCAACCTGAAATGTTCCTAATCTGTTCTGATCATAATGCAAACGTTATGTCAATGCAGATGAGATCACTTACCTTTCCATGACTTCTTTCCACTTTCTGAAAGCATTTGTTTAGAGAAAGGTTGTGTCTGACCGAGTTCTTCCATCCGGTGGGTGCCGTGGCAAAGTAAGGGAACCGATCCAGGATCCAGCTATATATTTCTTTCACAGGCAGACATTTGTTAGGGGAGTGCTCAATCGCCATATAAATGAGAAGGCTGAAGGAATATGGAGGTTTTGAGGAGGCAGAAGACTTTTCTGTGTTTCGACAACCGGATGGTGAATTGTCACCTTCAATGTCATATAATGGATTATTGGCTGCAAGTCCCTCACTTCCAAGGCTGAAATTATTCAACAGGTTTGTACTTTCATGTAGCCAGTTCAAGTTTGTCAGCTCTTCATCTGCTGAGCCACAGTCCACAGCAGAGGCCTTTGGCCTGGCTGCACCGACCTCTTCTGGCAGGCTACCCATTGTATCAATTTGACTCAAGCCTGCAACTCTCTCTGCTCCGGGAGTTTCGACGTTCTTGTCAGGAGTCATTCCCGTAACCGGACCCATGCAATCTTATCACTCTGTAAAAAAAACACAACATTAAAACTGATTAATATGCAGTGCATACGACACAGTAAATACAACATGTCAGCACATACTTTTTTTATAGTTTTATTATTATAGTTACATGAATGACTCATTTCAAAAGGAACCTGAACAAAAACAAAACAGAATTGAACAAATAGGAATAAATAGAAGCCAATCATGTCATCTGCATGCAAAATGTGTTAAACATGCTGATAGAAGGAGAGAGCAGCATTAGCAGTGAGAGTGGCTTCATCAGACTGTCTGCTCTTTTCTGGACCGGAATGACAGAAATATAAATACTTTTCCTGGTAAACAGTTCAATTATATGTTTTTCATCTGTATTTAGCAGTTTGCCTGTACTCCAGCGTTAAGTGTAAGGGCTCTGAAGTCACCTAAAGTCTCACAGAGGCTGTCCTGTCAAGTACCTACCTTTTATTTACTAAATGATCTTAGAAAGTGCACATGATAAATCATGGGAATATTGACTTCAATTATCCAATAATGTGCAGATGAAATAAGTAAACAGGGATTTTATTTGCACACAGTTTGATAATTGAAGTGAATCCTCTGTTTATCATGTGAACATTCTCAAATCCTTTAATAAAATCAGCATCACTGTCTGCTGTCTTTTGGATGTGGATAACGGTATCAAATAACAGAGCCCTACAGTTGTCTACTTTTTAAAAGCAGTCAATGTAGAACTTTGATAAAACAAATGGTGCTTTGCAGCCTGAAATGAAGACAATTTTGTTTTATGCGGCTGCATTTACTGTCTTTCAGCCCCAAATCCGCTGTCCAAATCTTGTAGACTTCACCTCCGCAACATCTCCAAGATACGACCGTTCCTAACCTCGGAAACCACTAAGCAACTTATTCACTCCCTTGTTATATCTCGCCTTGACTATTGTAACTCCCTCCTCATTGGCCTACCGAATCGCAGGCTATCCCCTCTTCAGTCTATCATGAATGCTGCTGCCAGACTTATCCATCTTACTAACCGTTCTGTATCTGCCAACCCCTCTCTGCCAATCCCTCCACTGGCTTCCCATTGCCCAACGAATAAAATTCAAAACATGAACATATAAAACAATTTATAACTCTGCCCCCAATTACATCAACAATCTTGTCTCCAAATTTCACCCAAACTGTCCTCTCCGCTCCTCCCATGACAAACTTGCCGTCTAGCTCCCTTGTTTCCTCCTCCCATGTTCATCTCCAGAGCCTCCCCCATCCTCTGGAGCGGTCTACCCCAATCTATCAGACTATCGCCTACTCTGCCCACTTTTAGGTGATCGTTGAAAACCTCTCTTCATGGAAGCCTATTCTGCCTTCAGCTAATAATCTTTGATTTCTCCTACCAGTTCACCCCCCCCCTAGTTATTACCTTTTGTACCACCAGCCCCTCCCTCTTAGATTGTAAGCTCCAAGGATCAGGCCCTCCTAACCCTCTTGTATTGAACTGTATTGTTGCTGTATTGTCTCCCTTTATATTGTAAAGCACTGAGCAAACTGTTGGCAGTAAAAATCTTGTAGAACAATAATAAAAAAAAAAAAAAAAAAAAAACTCAGTGCAACTTATAACATCCAAGTGAAAGATACACCAACATGTCAGGGAAAAAAAAATAAAACAAATTCAAAAATAGATAATACACAAAGCTGGAAAAAGGATCCCCCCCCTCCTAAAAATGCCTTGTAAACTAAAGTTTTAGCTAATGACACACAAAGCCATTTGACTTTCAACAGTGATCAGTTGTGGTCATTTTGATAAGCTCAGCATGAAAAGAGCTTTCCTGGAGCATTTCAGTCCATGGTAGTGCAACCGAAGCAAACAAAAACTATGGGTGGCAAAGCATTATCAAACGATCTCCGAGATAAAGTTGTAGATAGGAACATGTCAGGAGATGGATTGAATAACAATAAAAGAAAAAAATTCAAAGGCTTTATCCATGCCTAGAAGCACAGTAAAGTTTTTTGTTAAGAAGTGGAAGATATTTGGTACAACACAGATCCTCCCTGGATTAGGACCTTGCTTCAAACTGGATGAAAGAGCAAGGAGGAAACTGGTCGGAGAGGCTACTAAGAGGCCTACAGCAACTCTGAAGCAGTTGCAGGAATGTATGAAAAAGAGAAGTCATTGTGTGTATGTGACAACAATATCTCAAATTCTCCACAAATATGGCTTGTATGGGAGGGGAGCAAGAAAAAAAAAAGCCACTCCTCAAGAAAGGCCACATGGAAAGAGATGTTATGGTCAGATGAGACTAAAATTAAATGATTTGGCCTCAACACTAAACGATATGTCTGGCGGAAACCTAATACAGCCAACCGTCCAAACAACACCATTGCTACAGTAAAGCATGGACTTGGTAGTATGCTGTTATGGGGGGGGGTTTCTCTGCAGCAAGGACTGGAGCACTTGTCGGGATAGAAGGAAAAATGGATGGTGCAAAATACCATCAAATTCTTCAGGAAAATCTGCTGCCGTCTTCCAGAAAGTTGTCAAGGGGAAGAAGGTTTACCTTTCAACATGACAATGTTAAGAATGCTTACGAATTTTATGAAACTTTGACAAATGCCAAAAATTGTAATGTCTAATTGACTGGGTCAGAGCATCTCCAAAACTGCAGCTCTTGTGGGATGTTCCTGGTCTGCAGCAGTCAGGACTGACTAAAAGTAGTCAGGACTGACTAAAAGTAGTCAGACTGACTAAAGTGGTCCAAAAGGAAAGAAAATCAGGGAACAGAGTCATGGGTGGTCAAGGTTCACTGATGCACATGGGGAGGGAAGGCTGGCCTGTGTAGTTCAATCCAATGAAAGAGCTACTGTACCTCAAATTTCTAAAGAAGTTAATGCTGATTCGATAGAAAGGTGTCAGAACACACAGTATATGAAATGAAAATATGTAAGAAAGTAGGTGTCAAAATGTAAGTGTACGGGATGCAGCAATGGATATTATTAAAAGTGTATTTCTGCTTTTGCAGCCAAATTGGGATAACACCTACTTTATATTTGTTACATGTTCTCGTTCACATAGCATAACCTAAAAAAAATTATTATATTTAAAAAATGCCGCTTACTATTTTTAGGATGATCTATTTTAGAAATTCCTGCACTGTACAATCGTAATAGTTTTTGTTTATGAAGGGGCTGGGGAGCCATAATCAACCCAGTCTGTACTGTGCAGGCAGAATCATCATCAGTCATAAATTAGATTTAAATATGGTCTGTCCTTGCATTGTAGGTTAATGAGAGGAGGAGACTCAGCCTGTCCTTAGGACAGACCCACTCTGAAATTGTTCGAAAGTCCATGAAGTCGGCCATGAGGCCTTCTCATAAGATGCATCTAAAAAAAATAAATAAATAAAATATAATATATATATATATATATATATATATATATATATATATATATATATATATATATATTATGCTGTGCGAATGGGAACGCAACAAACACAGTTGGGTTTTTCTAAAGTTTTACTGCAAAAGTAGAAATACACTTTAAGGCACAAAGGTGACCTTATAGTTCAAGATTCTGCTTAGTCATCTTTCCCTTTCCTCTATTCCCTACCAACTAAATCTCAAGTACTCCCATAGGCAGATGATATCTTGGCTTCCAACCCGACTTAACTTTCACTCCCTCACATAGCGGCAGTGTGACCTCGCTCTCTAGTGACAAACATTCTCTCCAGGCTTAAGGCTGATCTTCACTAAATAGAGATGATTACAAATCCCCACTGTGCTGGCAGTTTAGCACCTGAAGGCAAAACTAAAACAAATGCAGCTGTCTGTAGAGATTTACATTTACTTTTCAGAGCAAATACCATTATATCATACTATATACATACACAGAGTAATGTAGAAATATTAGATTGAGAAACAAGGAAGGGGGGGGAATAAATAAGTGTTCCTGTGACCAAACAGAAGGTCTGGAGGTCAAGTGTCTCAGCAGGGGAGTACAGAATTCACTGCATTTTGTAATAGGATGGCCAGACACTTTGGCACCGGCCATTTGGGCTGAAGTGTCTGTTAATCCCAAGGTACACTATAGCAGACCTGTGCTCAAAGAAAAGGGCAGAGTGTTCAGAGTTTTCTCTAGTGATAAACATGGAGAATCTCAGGGCTGCAGGGTCTCCCTATGAGACCAGAGGGAAATTAGAACTTCTGGGACATAGTTCTGCATTGCTAAATGCTAAGAGTGGGACTGATGGGACACGGTTCCCCATTGACTGGGAGCTGCTGAGCCAATCTGCTGCCTTGCTGTGTGTGTAGACGCCAAGCTGCAACCAGGTGCTCAGGACCTGTCCACCTTGCCCGCATTGGATCCAGTAGTTTGTGTCCCTCGGACCCTCCACTTGTGGTCACATTACCCTTACGATCACCAAGAGCCACAAGTGTGAGTGGTCCACATCTCCGCATTGCAACGTGATATGTTGCTCTGTGAACTACTGCCACCTCACTGTGCCTGGATTGTTCTCTCGTGATCACTGCTGTACCAGATTTCAGCCTGTTACTCACTGTGCCTGGATTGTTCTCTCGTGATCACTGCTGTACCAGATTTCAGCCTGTTACTCACTGTGCCTGGATTGTTATCGCATGATCACTGCTGTACCAGATTTCAGCCTGTTACTCACTGTGCCTGGATTGTTCTCTCATGATCACTGCTGTACCAGATTTCAGCCTGTTACTCACTGTGCCTGGATTGTTCTCTCATGATCACTGCTGTACCAGATTTCAGCCTGTTACTCACTGTGCCTGGATTGTTCTCTCATGATCACTGCTGTACCAGATTTCAGCCTGTTACTCACTGTGCCTGGATTGTTATCGCATGATCACTGCTGTACCAGATTTCAGCCTGTTACTCACTGTGCCTGGATTGTTCTCTCGTGATCACTGCTGTACCAGATTTCAGCCTGTTACTCACTGTGCCTGGATTGTTATCGCATGATCACTGCTGTACCAGATTTCAGCCTGTTACT